ATGTTTAATTACACCTTTGTAATGATGAAGTTGCAATTTAGTACATTTAAAATATATTCATGTATATAAACATATGTAATAAATAACATACTATAGTTTAAATTTAGTATGTTAGCAACACAAGAAAATATAACACAACATTATTAAAACATGATGATTTAAGATATATGCTATTTGAAAACTTATGATTCAACATTATTATAAAGTGCACTTAACGTGTTAGAAATGTTAAGAAACAGTCATGAAAGTGAGCTCTACACAGCCTTTTATTTCATTAATATTATATCATCTGCAAGTACAGTTTAAAAAAAAACTTAAGTTTGAAGTACACTACAGCACATTCAATACAATTAAGCACACCTATCATTCACAAGTGTTTATATTATGAATTTTAAAAAAATGCAATTGATATTTTTATAGTTTAAAATTGAAAGTCTGGCCCAACAAAAACTATAAAGGGCATTTCAAAACTAGCAAAAATACATAGTAAAGCGTTGTCAAAAATTACCAAGACAGTTGTAATGAGGCTTTCATATAACAAAAAGAAAAAAGAAATAATCAAATCTAGAACATCAAGTGCCTGCACTTAAAGAAACACCCATCTACTGTACACACATAACGCCCAGAGACAGCCACACACACACACACACACACACACACACACACACACACACACACACACACACACACGAAGTCATTCAAACGCCTAATGGTGTTTACCACAAAGCCACTCCTGTCCTGTTAGCATCAATTACAGGAGCATTATCATAACTCATGCGCCTCTTCCTCTGCTAATGTGCCGTTCTTCTTTGGATCAAGTCTGTATGGTCAATAGACCAGCTGGTGATTAAGATAAACCACACCTGAGTGCAGTCCAGTCCAGTTTCATTTATAAAGCACATACTAAAACTGCAGAAGTGGCACATAGTGCTGTACAACATGTTTTCTGATGTTAAAATACTTTATTCCACCCAACCTCGATACACAGTGTGTGTTTATTTCCAGTAAAACGTGGATTTGTTCTAGACATCTAGACACACCAACTCTGGAAGCATTTTAACATTATTTTGCAAATTAGTTATACTGGAGCTAACTGGTTACCCAAAACAGCATGGAAGCAGTAGAGCCAAAAACAATACTGTTTCCTTTTTACCTGAGGTTCGCCATCCACATTATTCCTGTCACAGTAAGGGGGTCATATACAGTTTGCTTGTCACTTCATTTGTCTTTCACGACAGTTTGCAACTCTGACCTCACTCTTTTATGCCTTCCTGTCTGCTGTGCCCCTGACAACAGATGTACAATCTGACAACATTATTAAAAATGAATGAGGCTCTCTGATTTAACACACATCATGGGAGTATGATTCACTCTCAACAGAATAGATCATCCAAGATAAGACACATCTGTTTGGATTCATGGGTAAAGCATACAAAGAATGAATGAATGAATGAATGAGTCAATCAATCAATCTTCTTCCAGTAAAATATAATTTAAAATACAAATATATGATAATCACAAACAGCCACTGCATACTATACGCCGTCAGTCAGAGAACATGAATGATAATACCTGCGACTGCGAGATTAATGTGGCTCTAAACAGGTTAGAGATCATTATCCTGTACAATGTCCTAACTGTGCCCGTTTTCCATGGCTGAGCTGCCAGGTTATGAGGGAGAGGTTTACGCTGAGAAAAAAAAAACTGTTCTGACACTATTTAGGTTTTTGTGTCAAACTGAACAAAGCAGAGCACCCATGCAGAGATTTCTCTGGTTAAACACTCACTTTTTTTTTTTTATCAAATTCATCCTTTAATGTATCGGTATGAGCATTCCAGCTACATTTTGAGGAGAAGATTGATAAAACAAAATTTAAAGGCAATTCAACTCAGCCATGAACATTTTCAGCTCTTCTGTTGGATAAAATACAGGTGCTGATCAAATAACTGTTGTATCACTTAAACCAAGATGCTTTTGACCAAGAATTTGTGCGTTTTGTGTCATTTTACTAATGACGCTCTTGCATTCAACACTGGTTAACTAGGTCAGGATCATACCAACTGTCTCTCTTTAGCTCTCTCTAACCCTTTTCTATCCTATTTCCCCGGCGGCCTCTTAATCAGGCTTGACACTCTCATACTTCTATTCTTCAATTCTATTTAACCACATTTTCCAGTATTACATTAAAAGACAAAGGCCTGGTCTGTCCACTTGTGTTTCTACTCAGAGTAGCCCACTGCTGGGATATTTTGAAAGGACATATAATGTGGAGATGAAGCTGATTTAGATGGCCTAAAGCCTGTGACTTGCAGTGCCAACAAAGCCTTACAAGAGCAACAGAGATGGAAAATTGCACTATGGCCATTTGTTTCACAAAGTCCCCTTCAAAACACCCCCAACACTGATGCACATTGTGGAAGTGGAAAAAATTACACTGAGTAATACAGGAGCTTCCTTTGACTAAGGTATGCACGTTTGGGATAAGTGTTTGGATAAGCTCAGATAACGAATGCTTGGAATGAAATACTTGAAAACAAAAATGGTGTTGGATTAACTTCAAAGCAATTTTCAATCAGAAATGCTAAATGACACAAATATTTAGGCAAGTATCACATTGGATTAAATGTGTAAACACAGAATTAGGCTGAATCCCAATACTCCAATAATCTTTGTTTTATTCACTTATTCAAAAAAATTCTATTTTTTTAATGCAATTTTTTGTCTTCATTTTTGGTAAGCCTATAATTAAATATGCTGCTCTCACTGTACACTTCACATGATTTTGGCGAATGTAGCAGATAATCTATGAATTAAAGTATATATATTTTGACATATTTTCATATGTCTAAGCATACATGTGTGTGTGTGACAAACTGAAGGTCCAGCTAAAGGAAAATGTCACTTGTTTGGCACTTTGCAAAACCTGATGCTAAAATGGCTGAAAATGTGGGGGAAAAAAGCATGGTAATGTAATATAAAACACTAATAAATCTTTACGAGAGTTCTGTTATTGTGGAAACAGAGAACGTTCCTAAAATTCAGACTTATTTCAGAGGAATTTAGGCGTTTCTGTGCAATGCTTAAATGTAGAAACCACATTCACATTCATTATTAACAGCTCCAAATAAATTACTCCGAACTTAATGACAAGTCAGGATGATACACCCAAAGACAGACCTCTCAAAACCTTTTTGACCAATGAATTTTCATGACTTTGCTGGTTGTTCATGATTACTGGATAAGGTTGTATATGTATTATCATTTATTTACATATTTAATAGAGAGCTGAGCTTATACAAATGTATGTTTATAACAGAAATACTCTGATGACTTTTTAAGATTTTATTACTTTCAGTGATTTTTCCTGCCTGGAAATTACTATTTTTAAAGTTCCTTTGTATGTCCAGGTTTATCATGACTGCAGGAACCAGTAAGAAATTAGTAAGGAAGGCTTGAAGAAAAATACCACCAAAAAATTCAAATGCTCCCATAACTGATCCCTCTTTTTTTATGAACATCCTATTTTTTTTCTATTATTTTATTTTAAGAGTCATTATTATAATCACTCAGATTAAGAATTTATTTTAGATGCACGATTAAATTCAGAAGTTTATTCGCTCTAGAAAACTCCAGGAAAGTTTGACCATGAACTGTCATGTTCCTCTGAGAAAGATCAGGATAGACTGCTTGCCGTTCCATAAGTTTATGGTAAATCAGATAAAAGTGTCAGCTCAATGAAAAATAGCCAGCCCTTCATTAAATTGTGGTTCCTGCACCAGTTAGTGCCCATTGTAAGGGGTTTCATTCATGAATGAATCCGTGTTTTAACGAATCTTTTAATGAACGAATCATTCTTATGAATTTACCCAGTTCACTAAAGTCTCTCCTGGTTCTCTCTGTCCTGACTGTCTGTTTTCACAAAATATCCTTTAAAGTCAAGTCTGTATAGGAGAATTTTACTGGTTGTTCGTAATGAACGAATCCACCATGCACTGAAAGAGTCGGTTCATCTGAATGAGATATTTGATTTGTGAACAAAATGAGGACATTGAACTTGTCAATGAACGTTTAAAAGGAAATTTCATAATTCATCAATCGCAGATGAACTGAATGAATCAGACATCTCTGGAATAAAAAATACGGAGTGTATATTTAGATTTAGTTAAAAGTGACTGTAAAACATCAGTTCCAGTGGTGCAGATGGATAAGCACTTGTCGTTAGCTTTTTGACGCGATCGACCCGGGTTCGATCCCGCCTCAAAAAAGTTCGGCAAAAGATGGGATCGAACCCGGGTCGATCGCATCAAAAAGCCAATGACACGGGCTTATCCATCTGCTCCACTGGAGCTGATGATTTATAGCCACTTTTAACTAAATGTATTGTGTTTTCTGAATTGTTATTTAGTTTTTTAGACTTGCATTTGCACTTGTAATTTGTTATTTTGTTTTCAGAATTGTGATTTGTTTTGCACTTCTCGGCCACCGTAGACATCTGATGGACAGAATGAACAGGCCATTAATAAAGGACAATAAGAATCATCTCGGCCAATGAGTGAATCATTCAATGCTTCATTCATAATAAACAAAGCTAACGGCGCCACCTACTGGCGTATCGACATAACCTGCGGACAGGGTTACTGAACTAATCGAATTTGAACAAAACTTCTCAGTGAACGGATTCAAAAGATTCAGTCAGTGGAGTGAATCAAAAACACACAGTGCTACAGAGGCGCTAGTCCGGCTGCTGCCCTCCAAACAAACACACGCTGAAGGAAAAAGGGGCGGATTTTCCCCAGTGGAAAATCTGATTTGAGTGATACAGCAGTGACTTCAAGCCTGCCTCCGAAGCTTTAAATTCCTTCATAAAGTGCGTAAACACCCCAACACACACAACGAATAAATGACTCGCAAAGTACACGCAAAACTGACTCCACATTGCACAATATACTAAAACACCACATATGACAGCATGCAAATACAACACAAATGCATTGCTTACCCAGAATATAAAGTTGAACACGAAGAGGAGATATTTCACACATTTCATCCCGCCTTCAACTTTGCCCATGGTGAAAGTATAATTTGACCCCGTCAAATTCTTTCAAAACAGTCCGGCTTATGGTGTAAAACGCGGAGATGCTGTTGCACTGCACGAGCTCTGTCAACATCCGCACTAGTAGCAGCGGCTGCGGCTGATCGCTTCAGTCCCGCCCCACTGAATAATATGTGAGGGGTAACACGAGGGGGGTTCGGGACGGGCAATGTTCCATCCGCGCTCCGCACAAGTGGCTTCTTTCATGGGACCGCGCGATCCCAGCCAAAACAGAGAAAACTTTTAAAGGCTCTTTTGTTTAATGGAGAACTACAGAGCACAAGCAAATAAATATTCAGAAACATGTCACAATAAACATTTTCACTCTTAAAATAATTTCTAAATTAAAGTAAATATGACAAATCGTATCATGAAATATATTTTTTTCTTCAAAAAAATATTCTTCAGGTATTTGTCATAGGATTACTTTTTAATTATTATTATTATTTTTTTTAAGTTAAAAAGTATTACATTTCAAAACAGTGGCTACATGTTGCTACAGTGCCAACTCAGAAAGGTCTATCTGTGTAATTTTATATTGTTTTCTCCCAATTTTCTGCAGCGTTAAAAGTGTAATTTGTAAGACTATTTTTAAATTGATATTCCTACATATTCTATGGTTGTTCATGTTTCCCTTTTTTCCTTTTCACCTTATTTCTTGCCCCCAAATATTCCTTTAATCAGCATACATATTGCATTGCATAATTATAAAGTATGCATATTCTACAATGAATGTCGTTTTTTTATTCATTAACCTCCCTAGTAATCTGTAAAAAATAAAACAGCATGCACATCCGTTTTATTGTATGTGCATAAGAAGAGTTCAGAATTATTGTGCAAAGCAATTCTTAAATTCCAGTCATATCCTGTCAGCTGTAGCAATTGTAGTGTTTTTAGGAAGTGTTGCATCTCAGTGTGTACACTTTAAGCCTGCTTTAAAATGTTATTGCAAAACAGTATAATGCACACAATTAGATTTGATCATGATTTATCCAGCTGTTCTGGAAATCTGACCTGCTTGAGATGATCAATAGTTTAAACGGTCATGTTTAAAATTACAACATGGGTAGCACTTTTTGTCAAGCAGAAGAAAAGCCTTTTGGGGTGTGCAGTATTACCACTGTGCTGCCACCATTACAGAACATGTCTTTGCACAAAAAAATTATCAGCATTGCTTTGGTCTTAGTTACTTTTGACTGCACAAAAAGAAAATTATTTGAAATGGAAAATAAATGCATAAGCCACACAGACCTTGAACTGGTAACTTATTAAACCTTGTGTGAATCTCGCTGGTAAGCTATTATATATTCATCATATGTGGCCCTGGACCACAAAACCAGTCATAAGGGTGAATTTTTTTGAGATTTATACACCAACTGAAAGCTGAATAAATAAACTTTCCATTGATGTATGGTTTGTTAGGATAATAGGACAATATTTGGCCGAGATACAACTATTTGAAAATCTGGAATCTGAGGGTGCAAAAAAATCTAAATATTAAGAAAATCGCATTTAAAGTTGTCCAAATGACATTCTTAGCAATGCATATTACTAAACAATAATTAAGTTTTGATATATTTACAGTAGGAAATTTACTAAATAGCTTCATGGAACATGATCTTTACTTAATATCCTAATGATTTTTGGCATAAAAGAAAAATCAATAATTTTGACCCATACAGTGTATTGTTGGCTATTGCTACAAATATACCCCAGCGACTTAAGACTGGTTTTGTGGTCAAGGGTCATATATAATCATGTAGTACAGAATGAAATTAATATCTGGAATTTTATTTAATTTTTTTTCAGATTAGCCATCTGTATTTTTCTGCCTTGACAGAGAAGGTGGGTGAAATTGTGTTTACTGTTTCCAGTTACAGATTAATGGCGGATACTTCAGAGTTCATTAGATTATATCTCTCATTATATTACTGTGTGTATGTGACCCTTCCGTGACACATGTCCGTGCTATTTTTGATCAAAGCAGCCAGGGGCCTGCAGAGTGTCTTGGTTAATTTACCTTCATTACCAAACGAGTCGGGCAGTCCCTAATCCAATCACAGAACAACTGTAATTTGTCTTTCAAAGCTTATATGTCTCAGTTTAAAACATTTAAGCATAGATTTTTTTTTAATATAGACCTAGTCAGGTAGACTGCATATTGAATTGTATGCAGACAAAAACAAGGCTGTGAGGGACAGACTGACAGCCTATGCACCGTATATGTACAAGATCACATTTTCACAATTTTCAGAACTGTTTTATGGAGTTTTTGTCTTTTGGAAAGACTGGCATGTTGTTAAATAACAGTAGAAATGTTGGAATTTTTACAACAGTTACGTCAGCGAATTTGATTTGTCAAGCATCGTTGCAAGACAGACTTGTCTGTGTTTGGTGTTCCAGTCGAACTGTGAGAATCTTTCAAGAAGACTGTCCCAGGTATGAAAAAAAAAATGCCAAAACTAAATAAAAAAAAGTACCATTAACACACACTAAATCCACACTCTCCAAAATGGCACCCCAGGGTGATGCGGAGGAGAAGAATTGTTGGATAAAGTCGTTATTTTTGTTTTATTTGCGCACAAAAGTATTCTCGTAGCTTTATAGCATTACGGTTGAACCACTGATGGCACATGGACCATTTTAATGATGTCCTTACTACCTTTCTGGGCCATGAACGTGTCAGTTGTGTTGCTGTCTGTGCAGGGTCAGAAAGCTCTCGGATTTCATCAAAAATATCTTAATTTGTGTTCCGAAGATGAATGAAGGTCTTACAGGTTTGGAACGACACGAGGGTGAGTAATTAATGACAGAATTTTCATTTTTGGGTGAATTATCCCTTTATTGTTGCAACACTCTTAATAATATAAAGCCTCTCTATAATCATCATTGTTTCCACGAAGAACCTACAACATCCATGAAACCTTTTCAATGTACAAAAGTTACTTTATAATGGAAAAAAGGTTCTTTATATTATTAAAAAGTTATTTACACTAAGGAAATTATGGTTTTCCTTACTTATTTTCATACTTGTTTACAGCCCTGCTAATAGGTGTGTGTTAGACAATATTGCTTTAATAACATGTTGTTTTATTTAGAGGACAAATATATCATTCATTGTCACACACATCTCAGCCCCCATCCCAATAATCCAGAGGTCAATGTGGCATCTGTCTGTCATCCTAAAGAATAAAAACATTAAGTACATTTAAAAACACAAGGTGTCTCCTAAAATCACTGACCACTAAAGGTTGTTCTAGGTCCCACAGAAGTCTACTTACTTCCTTTGAGAACGTGCATCCTAGAGTATGCTGGGGCCGTATCCTGGCAACAGAAAAGCCATATCCTGGCAACCGCAGTGAGAGGGAGAGTGAGGGAGAGAGGGAAGACAGAGGGCAACGGTTGAGCTCCTCCTTTAAGGTTCACAGAAGAACAGACAATTAGCCATTAAGAGCTCTGCCTTTATTTCTGTAACAGAAGAGCCTAGAATACATTACAATGAGAGTAAATGGGGGTCATGGGAAGAAACGGGAGGCCGTGAGGTGCCGTTGACTGATTACATAATCTCTGTACACTAATTTGTGCAAGATGAAGTGAATTTGAAGCCAGAATACTAATATATTTTCTATGTTGCCTTTCACTCTGAAGAAGAATGTTTGCATGTTTCTATAAGGAGGCTCTTGTCTCTTCTGGAACAACAGAACAATATGAGCAGATGTGCTGTTAACCCCTAGAGACGGGAAATAAGATAATCACATAATGATGTGCCGCCGTGTTTGTGTGTGTGTGTGTGTGTGTTATTTTGTACCATCCTTTTTGTAGAGGACATTTCTCATGGGTGGCACCCAGGGGTTCAATGACTGTCTGCTACTGCTCTCTTCAGCATTACTGTCAAACCAAATTTATCACAGCAGCAGATTTTAATTCCTAACATTTTGGTAATGGAAGCTAAACTTAATTAAACATTTCAGTAACAAACCAGTAACGTTATCTATCTTGTATTACCAATAAACTCTCATTTGAAGAATGGCATGCTTGAAAGTGAAGACCTTTATATTTAGGGTCAGAATAACAAATATTTCAAGAAAACTCTGACGAGACCGTTTTACTAACAAACACTTCCTTTACAAGGAGAGTTCACCCACAAATACTGAAAATATTTACGCATGAAAGTTCGACTGGAAGAATATATAAATCTTCTGTGTATATAGTACATGAAGTGTTTGAAAACAGTTTCTCATATTAATTTATCAATGAAATACATGGGTTGATAACTCCCCTTATTAACAAAATTTTACAAAAAAAAACCTCCTCAGTGATTTTTGAGATGCGTTATAGATAAGTACTCTCAATATAGTAAAGTTAATTTGACAGTAGATATACCCAAAATACACTTGAATTATGTTGAATTAGAATTTACAGCATCATTTTGTGGATTGTGTTACTGATGCCAGCTGGCATATTAGAGAATGTGGTACAACGAGAGATGAATTGGTTGTATCAGGGATATGCTGCTTTGCGCAACCAGCTAATATGATTTTCTGGTCTATTTTTAAGTGGTATGCTGCCTGATTATAAAATAATAAAATGTTTTATTTTATTTTTATAGTTTTGCTTTACAGTAACTGGAATTGGGGGAAATGTGCTTAATTGTCATAAAAATAATGAGCAAAAATAAATAAATCCTTAATTTTCTTTTTGTAAAATTTCATAATTTTCTTTTGAATTGTTGGGACAGGTTGTGAGATTGATCTGTCATTTGACATTTAGAGACGGCATAGGTATGTTTGACCACGAGATGGCGCACGTACTCTATTTACAGAGAAATCATAGACTTCAAACTCTGATCAACAACACTGAGCAGCGAAACCGCAGTTTGCTTTCCTTATGATAACGTTATTTTTAAACATTTTAAATCTAAACTGTTTCTGCTGACATTCAAGAGAATGGCAATTCAGTCTGATGAAATTTTAATGATGAAAAGTCAATCAGAGATATGAACTAAGCACAGTATGAAATGCTTTGGTCATATATATATATATATATATATATATATATATATATATATATATTGTCACA